TCCACCCAGTGAAAGCATGACATTTCGGGGCTGGCTTAAGGGAAATTACAAAGAAGCCGAAGCCCGTTCTTGTGGTCCCCCCTTTTTGACATGCCCATTGTTCACATCTGTTCACATCGCCCGCAACGAAACGAAGCCCGTCTCAGCCGGTGTCCTCCCGCTGGTGCTCCGCCACGATGTGCTTCCTCCGCACCGCCGAGTCGAAGGACTCCATCGCGCTCTCCCGCGCCAGCTGCATCCTCGAGCGGAAGTTCTGACCAAACTCCATCTCGCACCACCGTTCAGAAACCCTGGCTTCCGATGATTCCACCTGACACCAAACAATGGGTTCCCATGGTTTCAACGTGGTGAAGGATTTTGTCCACAGTAGGATTATAATACGGAGGCAAATCTTCCGGAACCTTCGACCAAAAGCAACCGGAAAACAAGGTCAAAAGGTCGGCTGTTGTGCAGCACAGTTCAGTTTCTTTCAGAGGAAGGTAAGACATCAAGTATCCAGTGGCCCCTAATTTTCCACAACCATTCGCTTGATTGAGTCAAAGGCCAGCTTTCTCTGGTTGACCAAGTAGGTTTTCCCCCCGAGCGAGCAAACCAGACACCATTGAAAAAGAAAGAAGGGGTTTAAAAAAAGAAAAAGCAATCTATAGGCTCCTCTATTGGTGGGTTTTTGAGGTTCCATGTTGATGTCGGGGGGGAGAAGCGCACAAATCATTATCTCCAGAAACTAGCCAGCTTCTGGGGGCAGTGGGCTAAAGACAAGCATCCGAATGAACAAGAATGGGGAGGGTATGGCTCGAAAGCTACTGGGCATTCCGAAAAATCCGCGAAGCTCCTTCAGGAGGCTCCCATTGGTTTTTAGGAGGAAGCCCAACCACAGCCAAAGAAAACAAGTGGTGCATTTCCCAGGACTTTCCGCGTTAGCTTCAGAGGCTTACCGAACGGACGACGCTGCCCTGAACTCTGCTGGCAAAGCGACAAAACAAAGCAGGGAATAGAATAAGGGCATTTCCGGTCCCACTTTTGGCGGCGAAACTGTTTGTAAACGTTGTGGAGAGTTGTCCTTCCAAGGGAAAAGAGGCCATCTGTTCGTCTGCTGAAGGTGTTCGACATCAACCTTTCCTTGGGAACCTCGACGGTCACGTGTTGATAGGTAATCGCATGTTATTGTATTCCATATATGTTTCGCGTGGTCATTGTTTGACAGGCACTTGCCAGCTACCCTCGTCACAGGTCATGCTTTTTACACTCATCTTACAGACTTCCACACGTGAGTCACAATCAAGTCCTGAGCTGAATTACCCAAACCATGTGCTCAACCAGCTGTGCTTTCAAACCTCGACAACTTATGCCTTAACTTGTCCCACATCTGGGGCACAGGAAAAAAATATATTGTCAGATTGTCTGTTTCATACTTAGTGTGCCATAACGTGTATATATATATATAACATGTAATATATATATATATATATATACACATTCCTAGATAATACTATATAACAGTGGAGGATGCTCCCACTTGACGGGTGATTTCCTACCGGGATAAAAACAAACAAACGGCTGAGGGTCCGGGCTCCATGATGCGCTGCCGCACCCTGGCCTCCTCCTCCAGGTGATCCTTGCGTGAAGAACTTTGTTTGGCTCACACCCCGGAAAAGGCTCCGTCCAGGCACATCCTCCAAAAAAAGCCGCTGGGAATTGCTTTTTGCGTAAGAGTCGGTTTTTTTTGCCTTTTCGTGGGTCAAGCAACTTTATTGATGTGAGGGTGCCATTCCATTTGGGCGGGTTGAAGTAGAACCAAAAAACACCGGCTCGCCAAAAAGCATACGAGACGAACCCTCATCATCCACTCCTGTGGTGGCAGTCAACGATCGTTCCTCCAGCTCGTGGAATGAAAAGACTCCGAATGTTGGCAACACAGCAAGGCAGGCCACGGGAAGATTATCTTCATATGCCTCAAGGGCCTCTCATAGTCATAAATAGTGGTTCCCCACCCCAAAAAGGACTGCAACAAAAGACATCCCTTAAAGGCATCCCCAAGCAAACTCCCTCTGGGAGAGGCGCGTTTTCCGGCTCTCCGGCTTTCCGGTTCTCCTTTCCTTGAAATGCGCCGGGCTCTACGCGGGCGGGCGGGCCTTCTCCTTCATCTTCTCCTGCCAGGAGTGGAACTGCGAGGCGTCGTGGAGGTCCTCCTCGTAGCGCTTCAGGATCTGGTACTCCTCGCGGTTTCAAAATCAGCCCCGTGGTGACACAAGGGCCTAAATTAGAATGGGGTTTGGGGCTCGGTAAATTCAAAAACCAAATTTGGCCATGACTATAGGAGTGCCCCTCAACTTGCTAGGTTGAAGGGAAACACCCTCGATTTCTGGCTTTGACAAGCCCCAAAAACAGTCAAACTCAGGCAACAAAAACACACAAGAGTCTCCAATCTTAATGGGAGGGGTATTGGGCGTCTTGCAACTCCAGCTTTCTGGTCTTCTTCCCCCAATTCCATCCGTATCCGTGGTGGGGACAACAAGGGGCCAGTTTGTACGGTTGAAACCAGGGTTGGGCCGACCTCTTGTTTCAACGTGTCCAAACTAGTATTGCTTGAACAATTATTGTAAGTATTCCTCTCAAAGAGATATTATGGCGTACATAATTGGGAAGCTTGTAGTTTCAGTTGCCCAGTACTCCGAACGGAAGAACATGGAACACTTGTTTGCGTGGATTCCATCGCCAGCGTCAAGCTTGCAGTGGGGTAATGAACTGGACGGCAGGGGCACTGTGCAAAAGAAACGGGCCTGGTCCCTTCTTCCTCACACAAAGTGCTCCAAAAGGCAAACCCAGCCCCAAGGAACATGTCAAAACCGACAGGTGTGGATCGAATAGATTCACTGGAGCGTCCTTGGCTTGCTTCTGCTTGAGCAGTGCATCCTCCCGGAGTACTGAAGCAACATTGTGCCTGGCAAATGAGACATGAGTGCTTCTCCAAATTATTGCCGCCTTCAGGTAGTTGGCTTCCGCTTAATTTCCCCAACCATCCAACAAAAAAGCCTAAACTTTGAGAAGCACCCATCTGGGCGTGTTGTAAAGGCTAAAGGGGGCCCCTCCCCGCAGGAAATGGCACACGTGTGTTCCCTCGTAAGCCCACAATAGTGTCGCTTTCTCCCCTCGCTTCCCCTTTACATTCCAAAAGGCTACCCTCCACAAAGACTGACCCGTCTGCCCAGACCTCCCCTGAGCGCCAACAGAAGCAACACCGAACCAACGATCCTAATTTGTTTTGGTGGACGACTTAGGGCTGAATGCATCTTTTTCAGGATATAAATATCTATTGAATTTTGACTGATGCGTCAACTCGCTGTAGTTATCGAACTGGATCGTAGTGACCTGGAAGGATTTGTTGATGGCCCGTGTGCTACTCGAAATGCGGTGGCCCAAGTTCCAAGCGCGACGGTCACTTCTCCAATGGGCGTTTCCCCCTGCTGTCGTACCCGTCCTTTCCCGGAATCCCTCTTGTTAAACAATGGCCACACAAACAACTCTGTGTTCTTTTCTGCGGCATGATCAACTCTTACAGCAAGCGTGCATCTCCTTGCAGAGAGTGAGGCGATTGCCCGGACTGTCTGAAATGCAAACAAGATCCAGTCCTGCAATCGTGTTGGACTGAGCCACTTCTTCGAAAGGGCTTCGAATCTTTCTTTGGCACCTTCCATAACTGCATGGTCTCCTGCAAGAGCTTCTTTTGGCAACGCCATCGCCCCGACATGTGGTGGCTAGCATCCACTTGCTGCTCTTGCTTCCGAATCACCAACAGGTGTCCAGCCAACTCCAAGGCTCACTGTTCATGTCAGCGCCCAGTTGTGCGAGGAACCAAGAAAACTGTTTTCTCTGACAGAAGACGTGGAGGGCAGCAGCCACGTCAGGTGCTGGCCCACGTCACCATCTAGTGCGCCCAGTTGTGCGAGGAACCAAGAAAACTGTTTTCTCTGACAGAAGACGTGGAGGGGAGCAGCCACGTCACGTGCTGGCCCACGTCACCATCTAGTTAGACGGGCGCCCAACTAAGTTGAAACAAATCATACCCGTGAACGCTTTCGATTTCAATCTCTGCCGTCATCAGGTTCGACAGTAACTTGCGGTCGATGAGTGGAGTGTTCAAGCCTGATTCCGCATTTAGAGGGGAGTGAATCTGGTCCCTCAAAGTGAACAGAGGGGTTCTCAACATGACTTTTTGAGGGTGGTTCCTCTCAGCTGTCACTTCAATGGACCCCGTGAAGGGCAAGGTGACATCAACACTTTGATAGGAATTCTTGGAATGCCTGTCTAAAATCCGTAAAGGATCCATCACCATCCCTACAGTTACTAACCCCAAGCAAGCTTTTTGACCATAAAAATGGCTCAATCCCCAAGTATGATAATTCCCCGTGTTTTTTGTCCCTGTAAACCAAACCAGACAACGGGTACCTCAACAACACAACCACACACACACATGACAAAACCAAAGCAGCCCGGACCCCATCTGCACCTCACAGTGGCGTCGTCCGGGGCCACAACCTTCCTGAGCCAGCTGGGTCATGCCAATGGGTTAGCGCGGACCCCAACCGCCGCAGGTTCCATGAGGCGGGCGGGTACAGTATGCGGTAGGCAGCTCAGCCATGACATTAACATGGAACCACAAAACCATAAAATTTAGAGAAATCTCCTTTTGGGCTCCTTTTTGGGCTCCGTGCCAATTGCCGTGGAGCATGTTCAAATATATGGGAAGCCCTTTCTCAAGGGAGTGAAAAGGGGAACCAGCACACCGGGTTGGTCTTTGACCCCCTGCAAACACGTTTGCTTGTCTGGCTGAATAATGTTCAGCTTGAGGTTTCTGCTTGCGCTCTGAGGCTCTGCTCGTATCTCGCGAAGTCACCGACAGCTTCGAAGCTTCAAGGTCGAAGCAAGGAGCTGCCAAGAACATCTCAAATGCCCAGTGGATTTCCATGGGAAAGAAAAAGTTAAACTCCAAAACCCAACACAAAAACAACACAGTTCACATACATGCGCACATGCTTCTTTTGAGCCACACGCGCTAAGCGGTTCGAGATTCAGTTCACAACTCCATGCACACTGCTGTGTCTATACCACAGTCATGTAGGGTGTCTACATACCAGAAAACATTAACACACCCCGCCTTGAACTTTGCCGGTTCCTTAGGCAATAGTTCAAACTTCTGTACAACGTGAAACCGTTCCATCTGCTTTCTTCAAGCAAATCTGCTCCTCCTCCTCGCAAGAACACGCCTTGCCTCATATCTCTCAAACTCTGCCGCTGCTTGCTCGTGAGACATATGCTCTCCAAGCCTCTCACCAAGCACTCGCATCATGAAATCACCAAAGGTTTCTTCACCATCTTCCATCTCCACATCCATTGGTTCTGCTCCCGGATAGGGCTCCGGTTCTTCCTCTGCATTTTTTGGTGCTCCATCGAACACCTGAAATGGTCCATCTTCCTCATGGCCATCTTCTCTCACTGGCCGCTCCCAATAATGCATTTCACGCCAGTTGTCCTCATTGTTGTATTCCTCAGAATCTTCGCTCTGATCTCGCCTGTTCTGCCAAGCGTTCATGTCTCTCCTGATTGATCTAATCGATCGCTCGTTCTTCACCACTTCATCCTCGATTCGTCTCAACCGAGCATCCGAATTCAACCATGCGCATCTCGCCATCTGAAAAACTCGGAAAACACCATAAAGAAACAATACAAGAATAATCCACATGAAAATCTGAAATCCATTCCACCACCACATTTGAGGCTCCTCATTTGCATTGCACATCTGCTGTCCATTTGTCGTTCCAAATTGGGACAAAAGAATACATCTCATGACCTGATCCTTTGGAAAATATTCCAAGGCATTCTTCATGTTCTTTTCCATGCAAAACTCATGATATTCTTGTTTCCCCACATTCGACCATTCAGCTTTTCCTTCAAGCTCCACCACTGACAAGAAAAACAACAAAAACTTTCGTCTCTTTGCAGAAAGACGTTTCGTGTTGATGTCTGCAACATTCACCCGCGTCCCCACGGGTAACACCTGCAACTCCTTTTCTCTCACCGATCTCTGCAACCAAAGCAATCTGATCTGATAATGCTTCAGCCGCACAACTCCTGCACGTTGCAACCACTGTCTTCCAGATGAACTGTCGCTCCTCAACTCAAGCTGCACATCTTTTCCAACCAGAAAACTCCACAATGCCCTTATCAACAGCGATTCACTCGCTGCGCTTGTACATGCAAGAATTTCAGCTTCACAGCTGCTCGTTGCAATCGGTCTTTGTCCCCTGCAATACGTATAGCAAGGAACTGCATTGATACAAATAACGACACTGGTGGTAGATTGCCTTGTCAACTTGTTTCCACCCCAGTCGCTGTCGCAAAATCCTTCCACAACATGATCCCCGCCTTGCTGCTGCGTTGCATTCAGAATATGAATCATTCTGCGTCCAGGTACTGTAAATTTCAGCAATACCGCATATCCACTTGCTCCTTTCAAGTAAAGAATCAAATGCCTCATACATATATCTGCTTGCTTTGTTGGCCGAATCATCTTGCTACTCAACATCTTCACGCAAAATTGCACATCCACTCTGTCTTGACACAAATACATTGCACTGCCCAATGCACTCCGGAATCTCAGTGCCCCGCCAGCGTCAAGGAAATCTGACTCATCTGGCTCACCCAATAACTCATGCTCAGGCACTGACTTCGGCTTCTTTGCTTCAAGTTCATACGCCTTGACCATTGCTTCTACGTGCTTCGGGTTTTCGGCCATAAGAACACCATCTGGACAGAAAATCATCTTCTTCTTCAAGTACTCCATCTGCTCTCCTTCTCCAACTTCACCAACAGGAAATGGTCCCTCTGCCTGTATGGTAAAATGTTTCTTCAGCTCGGAATCCAATTATTCCAGGCTTGCACCTTCTCCAACCACAATCTCATCATCCACGTGAACGCTCACCGCTAATGGCTTTGTCTCATGCCGAAACAGTGAAGGCATATATTCGCAACTCTTGAAGCCAATCTTCACAAGAATAGCAGAAAATGTTCAAACCATCTCAAAGCTGCGTTTCTCTGACCTGGCAAACACCGCAAAAGCTGCCAGACTGTACTCTCTGCCATCTGCAAAATATTCCTCATCCATGGTCTCACCTCCACATAACACAACTCTTGCTGATACGCGTTCAAGAATGCGTCCTTGATGTCCATCACCATGACCTTCCATCCCAAACAAAGATGTAAGGAAATCATTATTCGCACAATGGAGTGACAAGAAGTGGGAGAAAATGTCTCGTGCGATGATGCGCTCGTCTTAAATTCTCGGGCCACAATCCTGCGTCGCCTGATCCGGAAATATACTTTCCGGTCGAGTCAACCTGACTCCTCTCCACTTCTCGCACGACCTCCATGTTCTTCAACTTGGTCACTTCTGCCCTCGCTGCGTCCATGTCCAATTGCTCCAATTCCTCCTCTGCCATTTCTGGAGGTTTCTCTCCTAAAAACTCTGAATCTTCTCCAACTCCAACGTCCTCAACTTCTTTGTCCCACGAAGAATCCTCCTCCTCTGGAACACACCACTCCAGCTCCTCATCATCTGTTTCCCTCATGCTTACAGCGTTCACACCTGCAAACATAGGTGGGTAGAAGCCCACACAAGCAACCCTTGGCTTCTTCACTGGGCTTCCAGGATCGTCCTGATCATCCACCATCTGCGCACCGCCAGATTGACCAGAACTCGCTGCTGCTTGCGAACCCATCAGCTCTGATAGCATAGCATCGTCGCTCTTCAGTCTCTTCTCCTCAGAAACTTCACCTTCTATCGGCCTTCTCAAGTCTGTCCTCATCGTCTCATCTGCACTTGCTGCAGCATCTGAAGCTTGACCACCATCCACACGTGGAAGAGTTTTCACCTCCTCTTCCTCAGAAATAGGGTCTTCTGCTGCCTCATCTCCACCTTGACTTGAGGATCCCTCGACTGTTCCTCTGCAATCATAGGCATAGGAGCAAAGCCCACACGAGGCTTCACCACTTTTGCTGCCTTCGGGGTCCACGGCGATCCCGAAACATTCATCACTTCTTCCTTCCTCCACGCTGCTGAGCACCTCCGCACAGTTCTGCAAAAGAAAGCACCATCTCCAATTGCTACTATATTCTCATCCTTGTCGTTCTTGCCCAGCCATACGCCTCCTGACCAGATCGAAGAGGCTGTTCCTTTCACCATGGGCCTCTTGAGACCGTACACATATTCACCAAATTGCGCAATCACTCCTGAATACATGTTTCCCATCAGTGTCTCGTACGGGGTTGCCATAAGCGCGGAATGCACGTGGTAACGGTTTAAAAGCCAAGCTGCATGACACAATGCCCAGGCTCTGATCGCATGCTCCCCAGGAATCGTGCCCTGCATATTCTCCTCCAAGGCTGCCACCAACGCTAAAGCTTGATTCCTGACAGTCTGAATAAACCGCTCCACTCTGGCTGTCCGGCTTTTGTCATAAGCTTTTCCCAATACCTGAGAACATTTGCGCCCTAGTCTCTGCCGCGTCGCCACAACCAGATTCAGCAAGCTTACTGTAGCTGGCTCTTGATCCATCACGAACACAACTTCTTCCTCCAAGTAATTCAAGAACAAAGAAAACCGCACAGCTTCCTCTGCCAGCCTTTTGCTTGCCGACTTCGAACTCACGGGTACTACCTTCCCCGTTCGCGTCCAACTGTCCATCATAACCAACGACACACAATGCTGCCCCATGTACATAAAATCCATCTGTATGTGAGGCTTGCCAGTGTCCTCCTTCTCCTGCTTGGGAATTCGTCCCATGTAGTCCTCTCGGGATTTTGTCCTCACACAAACACTGCACCAATCCTGAAACGGCAGATGCGTTGCAGCATGATCTCGAATCTCTCTGTCAGTCGGCTGTCTCACATCTAGCCGCTGCCTTACCTCCGGGGTCACCATCTGCTGCCGCATCTTCGCTGCCAGTTCAGAAGAATCGTCCTCGACTCTCCTTGAAAGATAATTGCAAATGCGTTCATACAAAATCTGCTTTGTACCAGATTTACTCAACCCATAGAATTCACAGCTCCTTCTCAGCTCTCTGATACTGCTGTTTTCACTCACCTCCTTGCCGTCAACCACGACGCTCTCTGGCTTTGTCCCATGTCCTCCAGCTGCTGGGACAACAAAAACATCATCTCGCTTTTGCCTCAATTCTTCTGGAACTCCTGACTCAAAACCGAATACAATTCCATCACTGGATTTTCTCATCATCGCTTCCTCAAGAAATTCCTCTTCACTTCTCTTACGCCTATGCACAAAGGTAAGCATGTCACCCTCATAGCCACCAGGAAGTCTTTCCTCTCTATTCACCATGCTGCTAAGGTCTGCACCAATCTCAATTGCACACCAGCCTCCTTCTCGTCGCACAGCTGTCGTCCTGTGCTTCCACATGTTGGTGCGTCCATCTCCAGGTGGGAGTAAAAACGAATTGCCACTGGAGAACATGCACGGCGTACCATTATCCAGAAAATTCCATCTGCCCCTTTTCGGTTCCATGCTGATTGTACTGAAACCAACATCCACCTGAACAGACCGCACAACTGCTTTGGATAGTTCTTGAACTGACATCACATTTGCTCTCACCACCAAGCTGTTCCTTCTGAAATAAACAGGAATATCCACACTTTCATCTGGAGTCACCAGCTTTCCTGCTTCTCCAGGAATCTCCGACTGCTGCACTGTCCAGCCCATCCTCATCAGCCTGCCAAGCGAGACCAAGATATTTGTCACGCCTGCCACCACGAAACTCTCACCAATGTTGCATTGCACTTCTGATTCTGCCCCAAGCAAAGCCAACTCAATACGTCGCATTCCTGAGACGCTCACCTGTGCTCCTTGAGCATCCTGCAACACCACATCCGGCTTGTCCAACGGGTATCCACTCCGGCTGAACCTCCGGGGTACCAAAGACACATCTGCTCCACTGTCCAGCACTATAAACTCATCACCCTTTGTCTCCACCTGATAAACTTCACCTTGCACCATGCTCACCGTTGCAGGCCCTTCACCAAGCTCTGGTACCGATCCAGCGCTCCTTCTTACATCCAGCTCATCCATGAACCAGCTATAAAACTCATCCTCTGGACACTCTGCAACATCGTCACCTATCCAGAAATGTTCTGTCCCGCCTGCTGTGACTGCACGCACCCAGTCGCCATCTCCCTCAGAAGCCATTTCAAAATACTCTGTCTCACCCGGCTCAGGAGGGGTTGCCACATGGTACATCCTCACTTCTCACTGTTGGGGTATCTCCGTTTCCCTGCTGATGAGCTTGTTGCTGAGGTCCAGGAGCTTGATCTGATTGAGCCACTTCTCGAGCTCGCGGATTTCTTGGACACTCATTTCCCCAGTGCCCAAATCCTCCACAAATTCTGCAAACGTCTGTCTCCAAACGTTTTCCTTTTCCCTTCTGCATCTGTTTTCCTTTGCCCTTCTTGCCTTTCTTGCCTTTGCTCTTTCCTTTGTCTTTTCCTTTCCGGCTGAACGACTCATCCTGTCCTTTTGCTTTGCCCTTTCCTGAATACCAAGCTGTCCAGCCTGCTCCAGCACCCTTGCCATAGCCAAAACCTCGGCCACGTCCTTTGTCTTTTCCACCTTTGTATCCACCTTTCTCCACGCGGTCCACCTCCATAGGTGTTGGTCCTTGAGCATCATGACTGCTGCTCGCCTGAAACTGCTTCAGCACAGATTGAACATCCCATGTTTTCGCGCTTCTCTCATATCCGAGGATAAGCTCTCTTGCTTGCCTATACGTGGTCTCCCTGGTCATCGTCAAAGTGAGGTGTTGTCTCAAACTCTGGGGGGAACACCGAAGTAACACACCCAATAAGACATCCTCATCAAACTTCTTGTTTGTAACCACAAAACATTCATTTACCAGCTGTTCCACACCTGCTATTGATTCTGCAAAAGTCTTGTCTCGTGTAAAACCAGGATACGTTGCTATTGCCTGAGAAATCGCAAGTGATCTCTGCTTTGTCGCCGGTGCGTACTGATTCACCAGTACTTTCCACAACTGCAAACCATTCTTGCTCGAAGACATACTCCGTGACAGCTGCAGCGCACTACCTCGCAAATAGCTTGTCAGAACTGCATACAGCCGCACTGAAAGAGCTCTAGCCTCATCTGTATCTAAAGCAACATCTGCACCTGGGTCTTGTTGTTCCACCTGCTCAATTGCATTTCCCAAGAAAGCATCTGCATATGTAATCCAGTTAAGGAAACCATGTCTCCAGATTGCCCACGCACTTCCTTCTCCATCGAAGTACTCCGGGTTCTTCAAGATCCTTGAAGCTGCTTCCAATCCTCTATACCCATCTGCTGATTGGGATTGTCCAAGATTCATCTGGCCGATCCTAGTGACCACTTCAGCTGATGCCTGTACCGCTGCTTGTGAACCTCTTGCAATATTGACCAGATCACCCATCAATGCACTAAACTGCTCCTGATTCATTGCTTGCACCATTGAACATTGCTCCACAAATAATGCAAATACAACTGCTTTCCAACGGCGCCTCATGCATATCCGTCTCCTCGCAGATCTCCGCTTCCATATTCGCACCTTCACAAAGTTGTTCCCCCGGCTCAAGCGCGTCACCACCATTCTGCAAATAACTGCAAACGAAAATGCAAGTGAAAATGCAAGATACCACCACTCATCAAGAATTGCTCTGCAAGTATACCATCCATCAAAAATTGCTCTGCATGCATTCCACATACCGGGAAAACCACTCAGGCTGTTGCATTGAAAATCAAACTCAGAAATCGAAACCTCATGCTTGCCCAAAACCTTGTTTGTGAAACTGTCCTTTCTTCCTGCGCCATTCTCCAACAGAACACCATGCTTTGCATCGTCTGCTGCATGCTCACCAACACTGCGTTGCGAACATCTCGTGAAACCGCTCTCTCCTGCAAACCCAGCAAGGTTCCTATCCTCACCTGCGTCCCGGCTGTGACCACCACAGCATACCATAAGCAGAAAGAGAAACCATGGCGCCATTGAGCTCTGTCCCTTGGATGGAGCAGAGCTCCGCTACCAAGTTAAACTCCAAAACCCAACACAAACACAACACAGTTCACATACATGCTTGAGCCACACGCGCTAAGCGGTTCGAGATTCAGTTCACAACTCCATGCACACTGCTGTGTCTATACCACAGTCATGTAGGGTGTCTACATACCAGAAAACATTAACAGAAAAAGAATCTAGGGCACCCTTTTTTGGTTGGTTGAGTTTAAAGGCACCGGAACCCCAAACCCCAAAAAACACGTCGGCACCGCTGGGCAACAGTCCACTGGGTGTCTTCTCAAAGGGCACCTGGGCCACCTGTTCTCCGCGAATGAACTCGCAGCGTTTTCCAGGTGTCCTCAAAACGGTCCCCGGTTTTGACGGCCAGACTTTTTGGTTGAGGTTGCTTCAATTCAAAAGCCCTGGTAGGTTGGCGATAAAGATAGTTTGTTTGCAGCAGCCGGAAACGAACAGAACCCTAACACTAGAACTAAGCATCATGGCAAGACCAGTGACGCCCACTGCTCGGCGGTAAAGGAAAAACGTTGAGGTCCCCAGACGGAGCCTCTGATCACCCTCCCCCAAAAGATAACCTACTGGCCTGATCGCAAAACCTCCCCCCCCCAAAAAAAAAAATACACCAGCGTAGACCCCAGATAGCACACCACGACGAACCATTATGCAGCATCATAATAGTTCCCGCGGCATCATGATGATGTTGACAGCATCATGATGATGTTGACAGCATCATGATGATACCACAGCCACTCAGCATGTGCGCTAAATAGACACGCAGACAGCGTCCTAATGAGTTCAGCAGCATAATGATGATGTTGACAGCATCATGCAGATGCACCAGCAACGAACGATTCCGCGCCCCGGCCGTCAAGCAGCACCTCCACCAACACCCGAAACTGCATGCCCCCTAGCACCCGGCCATCACTGTCGCAAAACAGCACCTCCACTAGCACCCCAAACTGCATGCCCCCTAGCCGACCATCACTCTCGCAAAACAGCACCTCCACCAACACCCCGGCCATCACTCTCGCAAAACAGCACCTCCACTAGCACCCCAAATTGCATGCCCCCTGGCGTCAATCTCGCAAAACAGCACCTCCACCAACACCCCAAACTGCATGCCCAGCCGTCAAGCTCGCAAAAAATGCACCTCCACCAGCACCCCAATCTGCATGCCCCCTTGCACCCGGCCATCACTCTCGCAAAACAGCACCTCCACCAACACCCCAAACTGCATGCCCCGTAGCACCCGGCCATCAATCTCGCAAATCACTTTTCCTTCTTTATTAGAAGTTAGAACCCCTATAGCTTTCAGCTATCTGGGGAATAAAAGGAAAGAAAGGAAAGAAAACAACAATCATGGGAGCATTCTCTTCGCCATCATTTGGCCCTTTACATTAATGTCCCCCCCAAGAAACAGGTCTTCAACTGTCAACCAGCCTGATCACAACCACCCCCTCGGTGCATGAAGGCCAAAGATCTTCGAGGTCTTGGGGTTGAAGGTGCACTCGGCCATCTGCTCTTCCTCAACCTGGAGTCAAAGCTCTTTAAGAATTTACAGGGGTCGAGCTGGATTTCCTCAAACCAAAAGTTGATCAAATTACGGGCGGCTTGTTGGAGGTTCCAAGAAGGGACATGGGAAAAAGCCCTGATTTTCCTTGAAAAGTCACATGGAGCCCAAGGTATAGCATTTCTAGAGGTGGCTCCTGCAGGGAAACCCTAAAAATTGGGCTCCATCTGACAAAATGGCTGGGAGCACAGACCTTTTGCAGAAAGTCGGTCCCTGAAAAAAGAAAATACCAGGGCCCAACCCTCTACTCCAAGAACCTTCTATTTTTAAGGTGTTCGAAAGGAACCGGGTTCTCTGCGGGAAAACCCGCTTTTATGAACGTACGAGTTGTGTATGGGTTTTGTACGGATTGTGTAGGGTCTTTGTACGGGCTCTTAAAAGTAAAACCAGGTTTTCGGTTGGAAAACCGATTTTTTGGTGAGCAACAGCAGGCTCAAAACCAGGTTTTTCGTTTACATCCCTTGTTTCTAAAGGTTCTTGGAGTAGAGGGAATACCAACTAGTGTTTACCCTTGTGGTTTATGTCTTTAAATTCGGAACAGCCCTGTATTCAAGGGGTTGGAATGATACTGCAATAAATCGATGCTTCCAAAACCAAAAATGTCATGACCCGCGCTCTTGCCGTAGAACCCTCCACACATTAAGTCAAAACTGGGAGACCCTTCCAGATGAGGGTCATTAATGTTAGATTCCTTTGAAACATTGCCAATAGCAAAACTTCAGAACCTCTCCAAAATGCAGGTTCGCTTTGCAAAAGGTGAACACCAAGAAAGCCCGTCCAAATGCTGGGCATTGTCACTCCTTTTGAAACGCAACCAAGATGGGTCCCACTCGCTTCTTTTTGGCAAGCAAGACCACAAGGTGTCATCCACGCGGGACTGCAGCTACACCCTTTGCTGGTTTGACACATTGTGATCAGTCAAACTCAAACTACCAGAAAGTCGGATCCTTGTTTCGACTCCCCGCAACCCAAAAAAGACCCTTTCTGAGTCCGTTTGATAAGCCAAACCAAATATGTCTCCCAAGCTTCCTTCATATTGATTATTAGGAACAAATCTCAACCTTGAGACCCGTGCCACTTTGCCCCAAAGCTGCCCAACAGCGGAAGAAGGGGCGTGGAAACTCGACAACCGAAACCAACCAACCAGCCAACCAGCCAACCAACCAAGTCTGTCAAGGCTAAGGCATGTTAAGGCCTTTGCTAAACGCCCGTGCGTACCAAAACAGGCCATGGTGGTCACTTCCGGCCGTGAAGATCGCCGCCCTGCCTTCTTTTTCAGGAGCTCCATCTCTGCTTCATGATCACGACGGGCCCCAGTCTCCAGACCTTGGGGGAGCAATCACTACTGCCAGGAGCTCGCCCAGCAGCTCGATGGGCCCGAACCGGGCCTATCTTTAACATGCCAACACCAAGAGGAAGCCAGTCCATGCCAGTCCGGGAATCGTAATCCGCCAAACCGAAAGTACGGGTTCCCCCCCCACAAGTTGCCCGGCACCATGCTTCGGATGCCAACAGAAACGGCCCAAAGGGAACATCTCGAGGACGCCGAGCTTTATGAACGTACCAAAGGCTGGACAAACTCAGGGGTGTTTCTAGCAAGGGAGCACGAGGAAACGCCATGTTCTACCAACACAACCCCCACTATCCACCATGGCCCACCCCCGGCCACAGTCTGGGGTACACACAAACAATGTGTGTGTGTGTGTGTGTGTGTGTGTGTGTGTGTGTGTGTGTGTGTGTGTGTGTGTGTGTGTGTGTGTGTGTGTGTGTGTGTGTGTGTGTGTGTGTGTGTGTGTGTGTGTGTGTGTGTGTGTGTGTGTGTGTGTGTGTGTGTGTGTGTGTGTGTGTGTGTGTGTGTGTGTGTGTGTGTGTGTGTGTGTGTGTGTGTGTGTGTGTGTGTGTGTGTGTGTGTGTGTGTGTGTGTGTGTGTGTGTGTGTGTGTGTGTGTGTGTGTGTGTGTGTGTGTGTGTGTGTGTGTGTGTGTGTGTGTGTGTGTGTGTGTGTGTGTGTGTGTGTGTGTGTGTGTGTGTGTGTGTGTGTGTGTGTGTGTGTGTGTGTGTGTGTGTGTGTGTGTGTGTGTGTGTGTGTGTGTGTGTGTGTGTGTGTGTGTGTGTGTGTGTGTGTGTGTGTGTGTGTGTGTGTGTGTGTGTGTGTGTGTGCGTGTGTGCTCAGATTCTGTGTCACAGTTGCCAGCCCTAAACAATGAAAGAAAGACATCCGAGGCTGCGCGCTGAAGTGATCCGACTCGGTGTACTTGGACTGCACTCTGGCCTTGCGCTCTGGCGGTTTCCAGGCGAGCCAAGCTACAGCCTCCCTCGAATGCTTTGGAGGTTGGATTCCTATGTACAAGAACCCAGGGTTCAAACCCCCACACCACCAACCCACCAACAGCGCCAACAACAGGTTATCCGAGTGTGGATTTCCGGGAGAAAAATTATCGGGCTTTTGGAAAGGAAAGGTACATCGGTACATCGGGCACGCGCAAGCCCTGGCCTTTTCCTCCTCCAGCTTCTTCTTCCTCTGCTCCTCCACCTGTGCCAACGCACACCCAAATCGTTGAATCACCGCAAAGGTTAACACGAGAAATCCCATCCGGCTTCAGAACCTCACTTGCACTGTCTGAACAAAGCGAGCTTGTCTCACAACGGCGGATCCCTGAAGAAGTAAAATTGGGTTGTGTCCTGTTGGCTTCCCTGTCATACTATATATTATAATATATAACAAACAGAGAGGACGACGGTGCTTAAAAAAGGGTAAGCTTTACTATGATCTCAAACAAACCAGGTAGTAGAGCCACCTGATAAAAATGCGAGCAAGGGCACTGGGAGTTGCTCAAATAGCAGCAACATCCGGGCATCTCTCAAAATGAGGGAACCCTCAAAATAGTTGGTTTCCTTTCGGTTTCCCCTTTCAAACCATCCAAAAGGGGGGATTCTCCCCTCAGAAGAAGCTGTTCCTCCTGCAAAATGCCCGCCCGCTCCTTGCTCAAGGAATTCTTGTGGATGCCGGCGGGCACAGGCTGCGCCTGTGGACGAAGTCGCGGGGCTCGACGTTGCGCAAAATTGTTCGCGGCGTCATTTTGCTGGATCACAGAAGGAACCCACAAAAGGTCCCCCTTTGGGGATTTCGCAGGTTTTGGGGGGGAGTGAAAGCTCACTTCCTGGGCCAAAACACAAGTCGCTTGTTGCGGGCCAACAAAATGGCCTTCCCAAAAAGTGCAAAGTCCAGGAACTCTGGAGTGGGGAAGTGGATACACAAGTGAACCTGTAAAAAGACACGGACATGGGGATTCATGGATTCATGGCCACCAAAGAACTGGAGATGAACTTTTATTTACCATGCTTACAAGCCTGGTGGATAGCGGCTGCACATGGATTCATGTCCACCAACCATTTTGCGGTCCTCACCGTATGATGTCGATGCCCATAATTGGCGCGGAAAGGGAAAACTCCTAGCCCTCTGGGGAGAGTCGCGTCTGAGTAGTTCCCCACAGCTTGCAATTGTTGCACTCAAGGGTTGCCAATTTCGGCCCGCGCAGCCTTCGGACTTCAAGATGGTCAATGGTGCAGCCTTGTAGAGTACTCTCTTGGAAAAGCGAGCTTGCTTGCTTGCCTTCCCGTTGCCAGAAATGAGTGGCTGGAAATGCCTCAGTTCCTCTGATACTGGTTACGGGTGTCGATTGTATTTGACGCGTCCCTTGGTCACTTCTATCGAAATCCACCCTGCAGTATTCCAGGAAAGGGGACCCTTCCTGGCAAATGTCCATTCTATGCCCCGTTTAAACATCATCTTACCACAAGGGACACATCTGGTCAACATCCATGTTGGCCCACCACAAGGAAAAGTCAATTAACCTTGGCCCCATCACGAAACAAATTTCATCTTGGCTTGAAACCGCAAAACAGGAGCTGTAAAAGGGTGGCCATTGCGCTTTGCCAAACACGTGTTTAACTGGTTGCCAGTACGTGGAAATACTTGTTTCACAAAAACAGAAAGGTTGACGATCCAATCCTAGGTGTTCTTTCGGAAAAATGGGATGGCGCGGAGACCAGAAAGTAGATGATCAGAACCAAACTGAAACCAGTGCCTCTGTTGCAAACCAACCTGCCCAAACATTGGGTGACTCTACGTCTAGGTCCTACCAATTGGGTTCCTTTCGGATGCTGCACACATGACCCACGTCACTCGTTTGGAACCTGTTAGACAGGTTGTGAAGGACTATCCAGTCGCCATAGGTCTCCAGATCTACCCCAATTCTCAGGAGTTTGACGCCCCAATTGGAAAAAGGGAGTTCGGTTCCCTAAGGCTCCTTAAGCATAGAGAACCTTAAGGAACCCTAGGGCCCCAGCCTACCCCCGGCATGGCATGGGATTCCATAAGAAGTGAAGCGAACTCCGCGCCTTCACCTCGCGGCTCATCACCTCCGGCTCCGGGATGAGCCGTGGCCTGCTGAAAAGCGGCAGGCCGCGAGACGCACCAAACTGGTTGGTTTGGTTGGTTTCTCTGTTGGCTTGCTGCCTCACTCAAGAGGATCCCAGAAAAAGGGTCCATGCAAAAGTTGGGTCCAAAGGCTTCCCGAAACAGAAACGGAAACCGGACACCCCGGGACCCAGCACGGCTTTTCTTTTTGCCGCTTGATCCCGCTGCCGGCTTTTTGCCGCTCTCTCCGCGTCCCAGCAGGCTGCGGCGACCATGGCAAGGGCCGTGGTGTCAACAAAGCCGCGGAGGGCACCCCAGTTGGCAGCCAGCCTCAGTCCCCAAAGAGCTCGGGGGAGTTCCTCCAAACCTGATGCCCGAAGTTCTTAGGGGATGGTCCCATGGGTGCCTACCCACTCTCCCAAAGTTTTCTGGGCTTGACGCTTGTGTACCAAATGGACACCAAAACATCTCATTGCAGTATGCAGTCAGGTGCGTTCCTGCAGCCCAAATGCCGAACTCCATGACTTCAGTTGACCCTTCCAAAATGCGCATCCTTCACTTTCAGGCCACCGAACCGAACCAAGTTTCTAGCCCAAGTACCGAGGGTCAGTTCGCCGAGGTGCCACAGCGGCTGCGGGCCAAAGCGCAGGCGCTCGAAGCCCCAGGCTTCGTCTCCGTCGGCCTCTGCCTCCTCGCCGTGGTACCGTGGGAGGCCCACCAGCGAGAAGAGGTCCGCCCTGTCAGCTGACCCAAAACGGGATGATGCAGCTGTTCCAGTCAAAGTGTCACAAGCTCCCACACGAGGTAGGCCTTTGAAGCCTTTTGGTGGAAATGATCAACAAGTAGCATGTTTTTACCCAAGCTCCCTCAGGGTTTGCTGTTTGAGCCCTTCAATGAAGGGACAAAACCCTTGGTACAAACCCCGGTCGTGAAGGGATCAAACCAAACACAGGCCCCATCCAGCCGATACCTTTGTCAACCAAAGTTCCCTAATTCATCTTGACTCAGTCCTTTGGCAAACCCAAGGTTGTGTTTCAAGAATCGGAGTCCAGTGACCACGTTGGTCGCTTTGCACTTCATGGAATCGCCGGCGCTTTGTGGGAAGGGGGGAGTCCCAAGGAGGTTGGAGGCTATGGAAAAGAAAGCCATTCCATCCCAGAAGCTTGCAACATGTGCCAAACTACCACCCCAAACACACCTCCAGGTTTGGGCTTCAGTCTAGGGGCATGTTTGGGCGGGGCGCCCCAAAGAGGCTGTGATTTCGAAGCGAGGCGTCCACAGACGAGAGTCTCCCGAGAGTTTGCAAAGGCTGCGAAAGGGGCGGTGCCTCTCGGTAAAACCATGCTGGGGAGAGAAGTTGCGGCGAAAAGGATTCCCTTAGACCTGCGAGCTGAGGCGCAGGAGGGCAGACTTCACCGCAAAGTGCACTGGGAAGATGGCCTGAAAAGCGCATGGAACTCAGACATGGGCTATTGACTGTCAACCCTTATGTCTGTGAGGGCCTATCCTAGGTCCGGCTGCCCCCAAAAGTAGTTTTGAGGACCAAACGTTTTTTTGAGAACGGCTCAAAATGCTAGGGATCCAGTATTAGAATTAAATGAGAATACGTACATCAATTCACAGTTGGACCTCCCAAAATGGCTGTGTTCCTGATGGCGTCCCTTTTGAGCCAATCAACACCTCTCTGAATAATGGGTAGGCCACCATTCTGAGGAGCTCCCACATGGAAGTATCAGACCATCTCATCCTGTTGTTTGGTTTTAAAAGGAAGCCAAAAGGAAACCCACCCCTATTGCTTTGTTTTTGCTCCTTTTGTTTTGTTGTCTTTTTTTTGGGGGGGGTCCTCTTTGACACAAACCCAGACCATGTTCGGCCTTCAAAGAGGGGCTCTGGGCGTGCAGCGCCGGCTTGGAATTCACCTCCAGCAGCCAACACCCGCCTCAGCGGTCAGAAGTCCAGGTGCATGTTGAGAGCTGGGGATGTACAAAATTAGATGTGTGTAAATCAGAGAAAGACCGTGGGCTTGTCTACAAATTAGAGGATGCCTCCAAAAGCTAGGCTTACCACTGAATAGGGGTCTATAAATTCCAAGAAAGAAATGGGATGGTCTTTAAATCACCAAAATGGAACTCACTCAAAAGGAGTCCAAGGACCCAAAGGAGCGGTACAGGTTTGTCTTGAAACTAGACCCCTGAATACCACACCCGCCACCACCACCACCACCACCACCACCACCACCACCACCAAGACCAGCACCATCGCAATCACCACCACCATCACCAGCGCAATCACCACCACCATCAACCATCATCACCACCACCACCACCACCGCAATCACCACCACCACCAGGGCAATCTCACCACCACCACCAGCAGCACAAATCAAAACTGGCGCCCTCTTCCAAACAAGACCCGCCCAAATGGGAGTGCACCTGAATTCTGCGGAACCCGATGGTCACCTGATGGACCCGACATGCGCTGTCTGACTTGACTTGCTCCTCTTGTTCTGCTGTTTCCCTTCAAAGGATAACTGAGGTTGAGGTTTTCAAGGCTGGTCAAGCTTGAAGCAGGTGGCTCGGCTTCTAAAGGGCACTGTTCAAGTTGGGATCCAAAAGTGTCCCGTCCTACACGACGTGTCTGGCTTTACAGCATCCTCTTTCTGCTCCTCTTCGGAAATAAAACAAACAGTGCCTGGGAAACCCCCACCTCCTGGGTGGTTGGTGGACACAAATCCCCATCTGACGTCCACCAAGCGGGACTATCATGAAAGTTCACACCCATTTAGCGCCCAACCTTAGATTCCGCGCAGACCTACGCTCGGGTGCCGCCCATTGGCCTCTGCGGTCCACCAACACATCGAAGGCGAGGAGGCTGTAGCCTCAAGCTCCATAGGCGTAGGGAATCCCCAGCATCAACTGGGTCCATGGGTGTTGGAGGGAAAATGTAAGGATGTATGGAACGTGTGTGGAACACGTGTGGGGGGAACGGGCCAATTTTGGGGTACCCACTCCAGTACCACTCGGCTCAGGATGAGACTGTCATGGCCTAGGTGTGCGCCAAAATAGAGGGACCCTACATGGCGGTGCTGCTTTTGGTTTCCCTTGAGCCCAACCCAAAAAGGTTACCAACACACGCCAACGAGTCTGCGAGCAACCTGCATGTGAGAAATGCCTACCTTCAAAACCGGGGGAATATCGACGGTTTTCTGGACCTGGGCTGGGAAAAAGCCATTTGACTTGTCGGTTGAACATCGAGGGACCTAAACACATGGGATCCTTCGATTTTGAGTCTCACCCGCCCTTCAAGGTCGTCGTTCCCAGGAATCAGTCACTTCTCTGATGTGCAAAGGTCAAGGATCCCTATATGTTTCTGTTACGCCACCAACAGGAAACTCGCTTGAACTCGACCCCAAATGTAATACTTGCAAGAACCATGGAGGACACCACACCATGGGCTTCGCCCCAAAGATCGTCGGCATCGACGAAGCTGAGCCGCCGGCATCGCAGCTCCCGGACCTCCGCCGCCGCGCGGGCGTAGCGCAGCGCCGTGGGGCGCCAGAGCGCGAGGGCGTCGCGCACCAGGCGCAGCAGCCGTGGCCAAAGCAGCCCAGGCGACAGCTGCGCCTTCGGGGGAGGAGGGGGGCACCGAGGCGTCATTGACGAGGAATCCGAGGACTTCCATGTGAAGGGCGCCCTTGTTGAGACCCACAAAGGCGTTTGCACCTCCTTTCAAGGGCTTCGTCCAAAGCAGAACTCAGGACAAAGCCCTTCTGTGGCAATTGGCTTTTGCTGGCCGGGGGATATGGGAACCAGTGGTTTGCACTGACCAGGTGCAGTCCTGGCATCTGGCCAAAGAGCTTCTGGCCCGGAGAGACAGGTCCCATCTCCTCTGACCGGGTGTTCTGCGTTTGCTCCAAAACTTAATGCACAGATCGTACCTCAAGAACCTTGTGGTGTATCTTGTCATCTCAAATCCAAAATCTATTGGATGTTTACAGGGTAGTAAAGCCTGTGTTGTCGTGCTCTTCTTCGGGGCAAAAATGGCTCGATGTCGGGCCCAGGGAAATCAAGGAAACCTTGGTTTCGAGGAACTTAGCCGAGGTTTCTTGGCTACTTGGCCGTGTCCAAGCAAGGCACCTTTACCCGTCACACAAAACCAACTAATGGGAAAGACCCAGCAAACGACCTCTACCTTCGACTAGATGGCCTCCGCGCTTGAATAGCTCCCAAGCTCGAAACATGCCGAACAAGTTGTCTCGCACCTAGTAGTTGGAACGGGTCACCCCGCCATGTTGACTCCAATGGACTTCAGCCTTTGGCCGCAAGGAAGACAAGGATGTGCTTCACTGTGGCTTGCCTTAACAAAAGCAATTGCCAGGTTGGCAAATTCCGCCGAGTTTAAAGGGAAAACCTACACTTTGAGGAACGCCATCCAATTGCCAAGGTAGCCAACAAAAGACGACATTCCCGGGAATCCCATTTTTGGATTGCCCATCAGCCTTGAACCCAGTGCTCAAAGCCAATGAGGAGAACCCCCTGCGTTTTGTTTTTTCCGATTGAAGTCTTCGGAGAATCCAAACAAAGGAGCCCGTTTCTCGCGCGCGGGTGAGCCCTCGCCTCCGCGCGAGGCTCCGCATCCAAGTGCTCCCAAAGCTGCTGCAGCGTCCAGTTCTGCCCCGCGGCGTGGCGTAGGCCTTTGCTCTGCACCGCGTTGTTGCTGATGTGAGCGCCCAGGTCCTTCGGATTGGAACCCCGTTGGATTGGTTTGGAGGAGTGGTGAACGGATTTGGAGTTGAACCCCTAGATCTGCACCCTCCCAAGCAATCCAAACCACCAATTAGAGGGAAGCTCATGATCAAATTTCAGGACGTCGCTTCCATGGACCCAGTTTTTGGGCTGACCCAGTTTTGTTGGAAAGTACGGCGAATGCTCTATATGTTGCAAGTAGGGGAACAAGGGAGACTGGAGAAACCAAGTACTTCACCTCAGGGTTTCGTGGTTGGACGTGGTTGTGTGCTTGCAGTATTTACGGCATCCACCTTTATTTAACCTTTTCGGCCGTTGCTTATAAAGAGGGGGAAACACAATGGGCATCATCCATTTCAGGATTCCTGCAATTGGAGGCGAGGCGGCCGCGTATAACTGTTGGATGGTTGTGGGGCAAGTACGTAAGCAGTTCGATTCCCAGCCCCGTGACTTCTTGGTCGCTTCAAAGGGCATCACGGCCAAGGGCATGGACTCGAGAACCGGCGACCCCGTTACCCTTTTTCCTGAAATGGTTGCGGTAAGGCACACGGTCTGGGTCATGATGGCAACATGCCACATGAGCGAAGACGAAGAAAATGATGCTGATGATGATGATGCTGATGATGATGATGATAATGAGGAGGAGGAGGAAAGGAGGAGAAGCTGATGCTGATGATGATGACGATGACGATGATGATCATCATGATGATACATATTATATATATATATGTATAATATACATCATGTGTACTATAGACATATCAACCCTGTTTGTAGTGCCCCACAAGGCAAAATCAGCCTAAACCAACATCCCAGAACGCCCTCCGCGCCCTCCGCGCCCTCCTCGTACCCGGCGGCCGCGTAGTTTGGGCCGCAGAATCGCACGAGGCCCTCGCGGAAGACGAAGGCCTCCAGGGGCTCCAGGCGGGTGACCAGCACATAGAGCCGGAGGTCAACCTCCGGCTAGCAGCGCGTTTCGCGGTGCTGTGTCGTGTTGGTTGGGGGAGAAGGATATAAAGTTCACCAATTGTTGCGAGTTGTTTTGTGCTTGTACTTGTTTTGTTCTGGGAGGGAGAAACCTGACGATGGAGAGAGTATATTTACTTCATGGGGGCTGGGGGGGGGGAGGAGAGGGAGGATAAACTCTGAAGGAAACATCTACAAGTGTATGCAAGCTAACCAAACGGCACCACACACGAGCACGCGATAACTCTTTCATCCGAGCAGTGTGTTGGTGCCAGGGACTCATCTTCCCCTGTCAGATGACCAAAGCTGGGTGGGCCTCATGGGCCACCCAACTCACAATTCTCAAAGACTGAAGAACGGGTGTGCAGACTGATAGCGCCCGCCCCTGAGCCGGGGCCCGTGGCACCCAGGCCACAGGGGGGTCTGCCACCAGGGGAAGTGAGTCACCCACCGGCTCCGGTCACGGGAGCATGGGTGGGCCCACGCTGAGATCGAATGCATCTCCATTCAGGAGACGCGGGAGAAAAACAAACTCCTCACAGAGTTCCTGCTTGGGGACCCTTTGCAAAGGGTCGAACCCAGAGAAATCCGGGTGCGTCAGCTCATCAGCCCATTGATTGAATTCACGGGGCACATGGTTGGCCGCCAGCGAGCAGCCATGGGTGTGGAGCAGGAAGACCAGCTCCATCAGGATCGCCGCCGTGTAGGGCTTCTTGGATCCAAGGTTGAGCATCGCCATGACGTTGCCCTGATTGTCACTGCCCACCGGGAGTCGGACCCGGGAGGACAGAGGGCCTTGGTGCGTGAGGATCATGTTACAGAGGAAGAGCGTGCCCAGCATCTCCAGAGCCGCAATCCTCCGCTTTGGATCCCCATTCTTGAAAGCCCAAGGGTACTCCTCCACGTGGATCTGCTCATGGAACCAGTACACCTCCTTCTTGTCCGGTTCCACCGTGTTGGAGCACCAACCTCCCACGAACGCCAGTCCGTCGTCCGAGGCGCTAGCGTCGCTGCAACCCCACCAAGAGGACTTCGGCAAGTAGGGGGAGTACTGGACAAAAGGGGTGTTGAAGAGGAACCTCAGCATGAACGCCAGCATCCTGACCACCTTAGGGGGTTTTCCCACCGTGGTGGTGGCCATCTTCCAGGCCCAAAGTGGCTGGAGCATCGACTTCGCCAGCGGACATGCTGCCGTTGCCCATTGGATGCGGCCCAGGGCCTTCTCGATGTCCTTTGAGTGCATCGCCTGCCCTTCCACCATGGTCTGCAACACCTCCATAACCAGGATGTGTTTGTTGGCCGCCATGAGAACCTGCGGGATGTTCGGGTGGACCACGAAGCCCAGCCACGTGTTGACCTCCGCCAAGTGCGTCTTCTTCCAGCTAAGTGGGGTGCCCAATGCCAGGAGTGTGGCCAGCAGCGCCACCGCCAAGTTCACTGCCCCCTCGCTTCGAAGCAGCCACAGGAAGTCGTCAACGAAGACGAAGTTCCAATCCACTTGGGGGAAAAGCGCGTAGAGGACCCTGAGCAGAAGGGCTGCCAGGCGTCCCCAGTAGGATTGGGCACTGGCCATGCCATATGTGCCTACCTTGTTCACCCACCATTCTTCCCCCAGTGAGGCCACCTGGAACCGCCAGTCCTTCCTGAGGACCTTCACTCTCCGGTGGGCCTTGGTGACGTCCGCCTTGAGCAGCACCCACCTGGTGCCCGGCTCCGGCCATAGCCAGCCCCCAGGTGGAGGTTTGACGATCCCCCCCTCGGGGCCAGAGGCACCCTGAGAGGGGGGTCCCACCTCAGCTGCAGCATGTAGCCAATGGAGAGCTTGGACCCCATCCAGCACCGTCGGAGCCGTCGTCCTTTCCACCGTCTGGTTCCTGATGGTGTCATTGGCCCCTCCCACCGAGCCATCGTAGATCGTGCGGATCTTGTCCCCCTCGTCGATGCCCGCCAGGGGGCCGGGACAAAGGTCCTCGCTTCCGCAGCCACATCGCGATGCTGCCTCTTCCTTACTGAAGGGGCCCTCCACCATGCCCATGGGAACCTCCTCCAGAAATGTGCCCCGGATGAGCTCGCTGAAGTGATCCGCCGAGGGGTAGTTACCCCTGCCCGTTGGGTGGGGGAGTTCCTGGAACTCCGGCTCCTCCCCTTTCAGCTCCTTCTTGAGTGGCCAAATGCCCGGCGAGGTCAGGGGTGGGTCCGTGACCCCCAGTGGAACCCCTTGCTCCAGGTCCCGTGGAAACTGGTGGTCGGGGTCCTGAATGTTCAGAGCCACGCTGTACAAGATGTCCAGGGTGGTCGGCCTGCCCCCGGCGCCAGAATCTCCCTGATGTCCTCCAGCAGGTCCTCCGGGAAGGGATGTGACCCATCCCCCAACGAGAGCGACTCCTCCCCCACGGCGAAGTGAGGACACAGATTTTGGCCCCCAGCGCTGCTGCTTTGGACAGCGGCCGGGCCCACGGGGCCAACCGTCCCAAGGAGGGCTTTCCTCCACCGTCTCTTAAGGGACGCTGCTTGAACGCCATCTGGAGGTACATGACCTTGTCGGAGATATTGGGGTCGTGGGTGATCGGCAGGATGGTAGGCCGATCCGAAATTTCCATGCCCTGCTGTGCCCATGATTCCAAGAAAGAGTTCCCCCCCCAAGTTCCTCCACCTCGCCAGTCCTCTGTGTCGATGTCCCAGCCTCTGGAGTGTCCGAGGCCGAGACCGGAAGTGATCCCAAAGTCAGACCTGCCAACGCTTGTTGGCCCGCCTTCAGCCTCCGGGACTGGCGCTTGTTGTCCCCCGGCGTGCTGGGAGAAGGTCCCTTGGACGCCTCGGGGGGGTCGTGGGGTTAGCCTGGGGCGCCATGCCACCCGGCCTCAGCGCCTCCAGGACGGGTCCCGCTCTGCAAAGGATGGCCGCTGCTAGACCCTGCATCATCTGTTCCGGGTACCGGCTGAGGTCACTGGAGTTGAGCTTTTCTCCCCTGGGGTGCGACCCGTGGTTGCAACGCAGGTCATGCCAATGGTGGAGAGGAAGGTCCGTTGACAATGCCGTGGACTTCACAACCACCTGGCCCAGGCGGCACTCATCGAACTTGATGAGGGAGTGGTGGAGTGCACTCGCCCATTGAATGTAGGCCCGCGTGACCCAGATCGATGAGCACCTAGCTGCGCTCAGGCTCTTGCTGCACTCCATCGAATCCATCGGGTGCTCCCGGGACCGTCAGCTGACCTAACCCCTTGTAGGCCAGCGAGGTCAGGTACATCTGACGGAGCATAAGCACGAGGTCTGCTCCGCTCTGCCCCTCACCGGCGGCGGGCCACCCAGTTTGGGGAACCACCTGAGGATGCTCCACGTCCTGCAGTTGGGGCCCCCTCCCACCAATGCGACCTTGCCCGCCATGGCCATGGAGCACATCGTGGAGTAGGGCTCCTCGCCCAGCATGTCATGGCCCAGGTCTCCGCCCTTTCTCCTGATACAAATGTACTCCGAGAAGGCCGGGTTGTAGGCATGGAGGTAGGCATCCAGGGCCCCCGCATCATCCTTCCCAGCGTACAGCAGGATGAGGGACGGCTTTGAAGATCCCGGCACTGGCCTCGGCGTCCACCCCAGTCTGAGCCTCAGTCTTTCCGGGATGTGCTGCATCCATGGGAAGGTGGGGTTTGCCCCCCCTAGGGATTCCGTGTGACCTTTGTCTGATCCCCCCGTCATCTGTCCCCGGGCTTGATGCTTGCCCTGGCGGTTCTTCCCGCTCTTGGAGTGCCCCCTTGCTGGGCGGATCCTCACCTCTGGGTCTCTCTGGGGGGTCTTCCCACTGCCTCGGTGGGAAAGGGATGCTTCCGCCCTTCTGGAGTGCCCTGGCTGGGACCGCTCCTCTTCTTCGGTGGAGGGGCTTCCGGGGCCGGTGGCACCCTGGAGAAGTCCCCATTTGAGGCCGTCCTGGCCTCCCCCGCTCTGTCTGCCTTCCGCTGTGGCTCTGGTGGGGCTGGCTCTCCCCCTCTCTATCCACTCTCGCACTGGTGGCCTGTGATCCCAACTGAGACTGGGAAGCCACGGGGCCTATGGCACCCTGAGTGGCCTCCTGTCACTTGGGAAGGTGAGGGCATGCCTGTGGCGCATGCTTCGATGGGGGGGCATCACACACCCACCCATCCTTCCTGACCGGGCAGTTGTGGGAACGGCCGCACGATCCCGAGCACTTGTTGTGGAGGTGATGATCTCTGCAGTACGCCACCCCTTTGGGATTCTTGAAAGCCCAGTGGTCCGGCCATGGAACTGAGGGGGAGTTGGGGGACTTCCCCTTGCCGCCCTTGCCCTTCGGCTTGGACCGGGTCGGCCCCGAGAGCCAGGCGCCTTTACCCCCCTTCTTCGGCTTCTCCCACTGAGTCTGCCACACCTTAGGTGCCTTGCCCTTGTTCTTCCCCTTCTCAGGCGCCCTATTGAGGTGCTCATAGACCTCTCGTTGCCAGAAGAGGAAGTCGCCCCTGATGTTCTTGAGGGCATCGGAGAGGGTGCTCGTGGATCTTCCTCCACGCATTGCGCTCTGCATACAGCAAGGTGGTGTCACTCGGGGGAGGCCTTCTACCAGCGATGTCCTCCTCATAGAACCAATCATACCAATCGTCCAGCTCCGCCTTGGTGACCTTCAGGTTGCCAAACTGTGGCAGCGCCGCCGTGCACATCAGGAGCGTCGTCCTGAAAGTTTGGTGCAAACGCTCCAGCTGGCGCCGAGATGTGGGGTGGCTCCTCACCTCCTCTTCATCCTCCCTGTCCCAGCCGTCCGTGATCTTCTTATGGGTGGATGAAGGGCGTTCCCCCTCTTCCGGGAGCGCGCTCACGATGTGTTTTGCCGGATGTAGCCCAGCTCACCCTTGGCAATCAGACGCCACTGCTTCTTGAGGTAGCCATCACTCCCTTGGAACTCCAACCTCGGCTTCGGGGTTCCATGAATGGCCTCCAGCTGGCGCCTGTCACACACAACCTCCAGGGGCGCCTTCGTCGGGCCC